GGAGCTTCCAAGACATAAAATTACAATATAAAAGCAATAAAAATAATAAAATAACCTCCTACCTGGGTCACAACTTACATTCATACCAGCCATTTAATGGGTTCCATCCTGCTCTAGGTTCCCCAGGCCCATTGGCAGAACCAGGTCTTCAGAGCCTTCCGAAAGAGTGTTATTGTTGGGGCCAGTCTAATTTCCACAGAGATGATGTTCCAAAGAGAGCCATCACAGAGAAGGCCCTTCTTCTGGGACCTGCCAGATGTATCTCGTTAGAGGACGGGACTCTAGTGGGTCAGGTAGATGTGACTGGCAAGAGATGGTCCCTCGGATAACCTGGTCCCAAGCCACAAAGGACTTTAAAGGTGACAACCAGCACCTTGAATTGCACCCAGAAACAAATGGCTAACCAATGCAGCTCAAGATCTGCACAAAACCATGCAGGCCGCTGCATTTTGCACCAACTGGATCCTTTTCAAGGGCAGCCCCATGTAGATTGTGTTGCAATAGTCAAGATGGGAGGTGACTAGGGCATGAGTAGGGATTGCTGGTCCAGGAAAGGGCATAACTGGCGCACAATCCATAGTTGAACAAAGGCCCCCCTGGCCACAACTGCCACCTGCTCTTTGAGCAGAGATTATGAGTCCTGGAAAACCCCCAGATTATGCATAGGTCTGTTTGGGGCAGTACCTCCCCATCCAAGTAACAATTCTCCATGCACCAAAGAACCCCAAACCCAGACCCACTCGCTCTTGCCAGGATTCAGTTTCAACCCATTGCTCATCATCCAGCTCCTAACAGCCTTCAGGCACTGCAAGAAGAAGGTATGGCATTGCTTAACTCACTATGGGCTGAGATATACAGCTGAGTATCATCAGCATATTGATGATATCTCAGTCCATGGTAATGTATGATCTCACAAATGGCTTCATGTAGATGTTAAATAGGAGCGAAGAGAGTACCGAGCACTGGGGGACCCCTGGGTGGCGGCAACCCTATGAAGAGTCAAAGCTGAATTGTCTCTAGATGCAGTTGGCTTTCAAATCCACAGCAGCCAGGCTATCTTGCTAGGATTTAATCTGAGCCTGCTTATCCCCATCCAGACTCTGATCAAATGCTTATCCAGGGTTTTTATAATGCTGAGAGTCTCACTATTGCTAAGATTTTAATGCTGTGTGTAGGTTAGTATTTGAAGAACTGAAATATATTTATCGGTTTTAAAATACATTATAGTCACTGGTATTACATTGTACAATGTTTGATTAAATTAAACGACTGCACCACTTCAAAAACCTCTCAGTAACTCCTGTAATTTACTATTAACCCATAGGGTGGCAGTATAAGAGCAGGAATAGAATTATTACTCCTTAAAATTAATTTCCAGCTCAATTCCACTCACAGATTTGAGCGTTGAAATAGATTCACGTGGAAGATTTTAGTAAGCTCATCATTCCTAATGTTTGAAAAAATTACCATCTCTCATCATTTAATAAAAGTGTGTGTGTGTGTGTGTGTACATGTGTCCATGCATGTGTGAATTTTTCACAATTCTATCCCCTGGCAGTTTTCTCACTTGATTCAACTTGTTGGGCGTTGCAGGAAGTTCACACTCCAAAAGATATTTTTGCCCTAGAGTAAATAAAAAAAAGAAGCTGATTTGTTGTTGTATGAAGGAAGGGGGAGGCAAGATTCATACTAATCCAGTACTTTTATTAAAACCAACAGAAATATCAAAAAATGATTGCCTTGTTATACTCTACATGTTCTGACTGTCTGTGATTTCATTCTTTTTCAAAGATGTACATTAAAAGTTAGGATTGGTTCCCTGCTGTCTGTCAAATACCTTTAGGTCTTTTTTCTCCAAGTTTTAACTATATCTTTCTGTTATCAGCAACATATAAGATCAAGCCAGATCTATTATTTTACAGTTGATGTTGTTATTCCACCTTGATTCTAAATTTACGATAGCATGGATGTAAGGGCTACAAGAGGGCAGAATGTACCATTATCAAAGAGTGCTTAGGTAGGTGTAACATAATCCTTAGAATATTATAGAAAAGTGCTGAATTAAGTACTTATAAAGATGACACAATGTAAACTATTCCAGGTTTCACTAGATCTAAAATATATAGCAAAGAAAATTGATACAAAAAAGTATTAAATCCAAATTAATGGGAATTCAGTATTGTGGTCTTTTCTGGGGCAGATATGGGCAAAATGTATTGGGACCCTCAAATATTGATCATAGGATTGTTTTAAGCACTGTCAGCAGTGAGTGAAGAAATTTGATTATGAATAAATTAAATCTGAAATACTAGACAACTCTAGTATAAGCAGAGGTGAAAAAGATAAGTTCTGACATTACTGGACTATTTTTGAAGCAAATAAGGAATGAAATGCCTTGGTCACATAATTGTAATTGTTAATAGTGTAAATAATTTGATCAGCCTGAAAATATCATAGAACACAAGGTTGGAAGGAAGCTTGGAGATGTTTTAGTCCAATCCCTGCTCAAGCAGGAGAATATTATTATTCCAGATAAATGGTTGCCCAATCTCTTCTTGAAAACCTCCAGTGATGGAGCACCCACAATTTCTATCTAGAAGCAACCTGTTCCACTGATTAATTGTTTTCAGTGTCTCCTTAGTTCTAGATCATTAAAGATCACTCTTTAATGCACTTCTACCTGTTACTTCTTGTTCTGCCCTCAAGTGCTTTGGAGAATAGGTCAACCCCTCTTCTCTGTGAAAGCCCCCCCCCCCAGTACTAGAAGATTGTTATTATGTCACCTAGGCAGTGATGGGATTCAGATATGTGAACAGCCGCTTCTCTGTGTGGATGCCGCTTCCAGAAGTCCATTCTGGGCCTGGGCAACAAAAAATTAGCTACCGGTTCTGCCGAAGTGGCTGAATCCCACCACTGCACCTAGGTCCTTCTTTTCATTAGACTAGACCAGGGGTAGGCAACCTCGGCTCTTTTATGACTCGTGGACTTCAACTCCCAGAATTCTTGAGTCAGCTATGCTTCTTCTAAATTCTTCATTCAATACTGAAAATTTGCTCTGTTGGATTGTGGAATTGTTTGAGACATAGAACAGGATATCCACATCGGAAAAATCCCTTTTCCTCTAATGAGAGACTCTCTTGGATCAATATCTCTTCTGTGTGACAGTATGTCTATTCTAAAGACAACCATGGTCATGATACTGACAGAAGTGCAGTTTTCATAACTAGACAACACATTTGGTATTCATGATTAAGGTTCATGTACTGTATTCTTGAAATGTATCATAGGTAGGCCTATTTCCAAGATCTATAATACTAATAATAAGAATGTGCTAGGATTGGTTACTCATCCCATGATAATGTGATTAGTTTCCAAAATATGAACATTTCACATTCCCAGCTTCAAGTTATATTTGTGTTTTGAAATGTAGATTACCTTAGTTATTTGAAACTATGCTTATTTTCTTGGGAAATCCAAATGAAAGAAGGCTGAATAGTAATTCAGTTAAAACCTTTTTGCTGTTCTGTCATCTAGTAACTTAGAAATTTCTTTTGAACAACTTTTGAAATTACATCAGACTTCTCACCCCAGTGGGATACAGTTAACTGTGAGCTAGATGACATTATAACATTCTCAGCCTCATTTTGGCAGAACAGGTTAGAAAATCTTGGTTGTGCTTCCTTTCTAAAAGGTGACATTAGATGGCATTTAGCTTCTCCAAATCAAATTTAATATTTATTCATTACATCCCACATCTTCAGGATTTGCTAGACAATAATATGGGGAATAATAAATGTTAGAAATTCTGTTTTATTACATAGAAATGGTAGCAGGGGATTATTATATAGCTATACAGATTTGTAGCAGAGGATGGTTACATAGCCATACAAATCAAATAAATTGTACAATGTACACTCACCATGGGCCTTGCTGCTTAATGGTTTCAACTGTCACAGGAAACTCCTCAGAACAAAAGGAACCATAGTGTTTAGATGCAAACTAAGCACTGCCATCTACTAGTTGGATAATTCTTTAGTTGTTGCAATGCAAAATATATTCTAACAAGTATTCTAACAATAAATAAATATCATTTGTACCTATAAGAAAAAAATATTTATACATATAGAAAAACAATAAATAATAAAATTGATAATAATATCCTTCCTCACTGGTCGTTTCCAACTGATATTGATGGGGAGGAGAGATCTACCCTATGGCTTTTAATTTCTGAGGTGCCTCAGAATTCTCCCACTTTTAACATCTACATGATGTTAGATGCTGCTGTGTGAGGTGATCGGATGGTTTGGGGTGAGGTATCTTCAATATGCTGATTATACCCAGCTTTATATCTCTACTCTGCCTGAGCAACGCCATGGATGTCCTGTCCCAGTCCCAGAACCTGTAAGGGTTGGAATGGGGTGCAATGGACTTTGAATCAACCCAAGCAAGTCTGAAGGACTTTGAGTATTTGGTCCTTCTGGTGGGAAGGTTTTTTCCACTGCTAGTTGTAGATGGGACTGCACTGCATAGATGGGCTTAGGAGCCCTCTTGAACCCACAGCTCCTGCAAGAAGAGCAGGTGGTAGCTATAGCTAGGAAGGCTTTTCTATAACTTTGGGTTGTGCACCAGATACACCCATTTCTGGAGTCTCTCACAGACCCTCATGCCCTTGTGACCTGTCATCTGGATTACTGCAACACACTCTACATGGAACTGCCTTGAAGAGCATTCAGAAATTTCAGCTAGTGTAGAATGTGACTGCATGAGTAGTAGAGAATGAGAAATATTTGATACATGTAATACATGTAACACATTTAACACCACTGCTACATGAGCTGCAATTCATCTAAAGGTGATCAATTATTACCTTTAAAGCTCTTCGTGGCTTGAGGCTGAGAGTTCTCCCACTCTTTCCAACCTGTCCAATTTGGACTAGCAGGTTGGGCATGTTACAGGTCCCATCATCTGAGGAATGTCAATTGGTGGGGACCAGGAACCTTCTTTGCTTTAGCCACTCCCTCTGAAACATTCACCTTTCAGACTTCAGGATGACCTTAACCCTGTATAGATGTAAGAATGTAAGAACAGCTCTGCATATCAGACCCTTGACTTCTCCAGCATTCTGTCTTCCTCATGGCCACCCATGGAAGGCCAAGGAAGAAGAAATAAGGCCATCTCTTGCAGTCCATTTCCAGTGACTATTGTATGCAGACATGATACCATTGATCTAGAGCCATTATGATGATGATGAAGAATGATTTGTCTTTATACATAGAACAGACTAGGATACCATTAGACTGTAATTTTTTTGGAGGACACTTGCAATGTGTAAAAATGCAATTGTAGGGTTGGAGATTATAATGTAAAGAAGGGAGACAATATTTTATATTGCGTATAATTGTAGATGAGTTATTTTTCAGAGAAAAGGGAAATGATGCTCTCACCCAAACCTTTTGAAGCAGAACTAGAATTGGTTACTTTTACTTTAATATATCATAAGTGCCATTTGTGGGTGTTACTCTGAATAAAAGTTCTTGGAACAGGTAGCATAAACAGGCAATAAATAGATATTTCTCTAAGGTTTTTATCAATGCAAGTATGGGTGTATATACTGCATTCTAAAAAAATCCAGAGATCTGAAAGTTCTTTTAACAAATGATATATTTTTTTCTGTTCTATTATTATTAACCTGGGTTTTTTCCATTCCTTCCTCCATAAAACAAACTTTGTTCAGTAGACATTAGCAAACTTTTTTTGTCTTTTGTTACTATGTGAACATTAGCTGAATCTCTTGCAAATACATCATAATGCCAGGCTACAGATGGATAAAAAAAACAACAACAAGCTATTGTGTCCTTGAGTAGACCTTTTTCTTTATTAGATTTGGTTTGGTTTCAGGGAATAAAACTCTGCAATAAGTCATTTGGGAAATGAAGCTCTAATGTAAGTTCCTTGAATAGTCAAATCCATATTGCATGTGACTGAAGCCTAAGGCCTGGAAACCAGAGAAGATGCAGGCAGCTCCAGGTCTAGTTGTGATGTGCGCTCAGTGGCAGAACTATCAGATCACAGCTTGGAAAGGAAGCCTGTCCCCCTGAAACCATTTTAATGGGGAGAGAAAGTGCAATGGACACATTTTTCTTAGGCTTCATACCCAAAGGTGAAGATATGTCAGCATTGAGAAATAAAAGAAGCAAGATGTGAAATGTTCATGTTCTTTTTAACCAAGGAAATATTATATACAACATGCTAGGATAGGAAGCATTCCTATATTTGAGATCTGCTCTTATTGGCTGCATTTTTGCATCAAAGAAGTGCATTTGCTTTTACAGTGATTTGTCAAATAAGCCAGAAGTAAACTGCAGTTAGTCTTCTATATGAGAAACATAAAGATATTTTTTTGCCCATTTGATTTGCACCCTTCTGAGCATCCTTGCTTTACAACTTTATGGACTAGTTAGAAGCTTTTTAGGATAAAATCTAACCAGGAATAAGGCTGAAAACTAGATAAGCTATGAAGTCTGCCAGGCGTAATCATTGTCTGAATGACATGAAATGGACCTCAACACTGATCACATAAACAGTGTCACTTGGAATTTGCAATTGCAGACACTAATTATAAGTCTGCACCAGTGAAAATCTCTCTGGGATGGAGAATGCTTCAGAGTGCCAAAGAATCATTGTCTTATGCTTGACTGCCTGTGCTCTTTTTTGGTGCAAAATTCTGACTTATCCTATTCCACTGAGATCCATAGAGCATCAAATGAGCAAGCATCCAAGGCATCATCATCATCTAAGAAATGATAAAATTTAAGTACTTGTGTGAGACATTTGGATGCAGATATATAATGGCAAAGTTTTGTGGTGATCTCCTGACTTACATATACTCATTTGGCATAATCAAAATAAAATAAAATTTAATATAGGCAAATAAATGCAATGCAAGTCATATATTTAGCTCAGCTGGATCAGATGAAGCAGTTATCTTGTTAACCATAAATAGACTCTTCCTTGTTCCCAGCTCCTGGGATTAGTTTGTAGCACTGTACTGGCATGATTTCGTGAAGAAGTCTGAATGCTGAATCAAGATTTGAGAAAGCAACACAAGTGTATCAACATATCAACAGAAATGCAGCAAAACACTTGCATTTTTTGTTTTGTTTTTATGGTGTGTTTAGACATAAACCTGAGGAACAAGATAATATAATAACAATAATAAAGTAGAAGGGACCTTTGAGGTCTTCTAGTCCAATCCCCTGTTCAGGCAGAAAATCCATTTCAGACAAATGGTTGTCCAGTCTCTTCTTAAAAACTTCCAATGTTGGAGTATTCACAACTTCAACAACTTCATTAATGAACAGCAAGTGAATTCAGTAGTTATATAGTTACAGTTTAAATGTCATTTGCTGAGGAAACTGGTCCTGCTTCAAGTCTTGCTTATGGCTAATAAGATAGTTGTTTCATCTGACCCAGCTGGGCTAAAAGCATGACTTATATTGCATTTATTTGCTGTTGTCATGTTATTTTCTGGCCATTTTTCTAATCTGTCAAGAATATTTTGAATTTTATTTCTGCCCTCCAGACTATTACACCCAACTTTGTATGACCTGAAAATTTAATAAATATTCCCCACACTTTCTCATGCATGTCATTAATAGTATTGATAAATAATAGAACTAGGATTAAATCTATCTGCATGCTTCCATTTAGCATGATGAAGAACTATTGGTGGTTCTTCATATTCTCTAAATATGATCTTTGAGGAAGATTTATATCCATTTAATTGTCATACCAGATTTAATTAGAAGTTGCTAAAAATGAGATAAGATTTAGTCTGTAAAGACTGATTCTTGACATAACCATCCTGATGTTTGGTAATCACTAGGCTTGCTTTCAAGAGGTTTTTACCCTTGTTAATTATATTCTCTTCTAGTTTTCAATGTTAGGCTAATTGGTTGGTTGCCTGCATCTTCTGTTTTGGCCTCTCCCCATAATTAGAAATAACATTTGTTCTCTTTCAGGAGTCAGCTACTTCACACATGCTCCACAATTTTTAAAGGCATTTTTTATTATTGCTTTGTGTTTTATATAATTATAATTATGACATGGATGTTTTAATTATTTGCATTGTATGTTTTTATTGTTAATTGCTGGACGTATTGGGAGATTTGCATATACACACCTCATAAACTAACAAATCTTAAATGTTTGACGAGAGTACCACCAAGTTCCTTTGAAACTGTAGGATACAGTTTATCTGGCTCTAGACATTTGAAATCGTTCAAAATAGGTATTCCCTCGGTGGACTGTACTTATTCTTTTCTTTCATAAATATCTTTATTTTTGTTCCTTGAATCCTTTGCTAACCTTAGCGCATCCCAAACTTTTTCCTTTCTGATATCATCTCTATAATTCCAGTCTGTCTCTGTATAATCTTCCTTGGCTTCCATGGTTTTTCACTTATTACATGCCCTTTCAAAAATTACTCTTAGATCTTTACTAAGCTTTTTTTTTTCCACCACCACATTGGCTACTTCTACTGTTCCCCATTTCTTTTCTCACTGAAATTGTGCTGTTAGTATCTAATATTCTAAAAACTCTTTTCTTCTTATCTCTTTGTGCCAGGGAATGCTATTTGCTTTGAGTTTATTATAACCCATTTTCTTGAAATCCTTGATACATTCAGTTGCTATTTGCTTTAGTTTCCCTCATAATATAATCGCCAGAATTGTGTGCCCATTTTAAACCAATATTCCTGTTCCTCTGTCCACCATTTTGAACTGATGGGTACTTCTCTGGTGCTGTACCTTAAGTCTACTTTCTAAAGGAAAGATTTATCAGCAAAACAGATCAGAAATTTCTTGGAAGGACCATACTTAGTAGAGCTCATCTCCCAACAGTTTTAATTAAGATCATGCTTTTTTAAAGATTTCAGTTTGGTTTTGGAAAGCATCAGCCACATCTTTTACTTGAATGTAAAGACAACAATGCATCCCAACAAAACATTTCTTTATTTATTCTCCACTTACTATAAATTCAGATGTCTTCAATTATTTTGCAGAATTCCTGTGTTCTGAAATGTGAATGTGCCATTCTCCTTCCTTTCTCCTGCATTTTGAATACATTGTATACTTTGAGTGCTGTATTCCAGTCATGGGAAATATCTCGTTATTTCAATTAAGTTCTATTTATTTTTCTGTTCAAAGAGTTCAAGCTTATTTTATTGCAAATATTCCCATGAACATTATGAAAATCTTTCTATTTCTTTTTTACTTCATTCATTCAAGCTTTATTTCTAGGTGCAAAACAAGGGATGGAATCAATCAAATTTGACAGATTTAATTCTAATATCACCAACAATAGAGAAGAATACCACTTCCATCCTATTTAGAAACTTGAATTTGTGACTCCTGGGTATTTTCACTGTCACCTCTTTGGCATCAAAACAGGCAAAGAGTTTGATGTCTTCCCCCTGACAGTAAGGGAACTGTGACTCCCTAAGTTTCACACTTCATTCTCCACACATTTTGGAATTTCAAACATTCAAAATGAGGGTTGAAGTGAAGGATCAGTTCAGTCTCATCCTGTCCCAAGCTGATGGCATTTAGTTCTACCTTACCTTTCACTTTGATGCAATTCCCAGACCATGACTTTTAGGTGAGCAACCAGTTGCGCTGCCTTCCTTTTAGATTTGGAGAAATCGGTCTGATTTTTATTGAGTGTTTCAATGGTCCTATTTCTTTCAACAGTGCAGAATCCTTTATCTGAACTCTGTTTCAAGGCTCTTTTCCTCCAATCCCAGTCAATTCAACTCTAGTGATCAAGTTTGCAATATTTCAAAATCAGAATAGAGCTGGAAGGGACTTTGGAGGTTTTCTAGTCCAGCCCCCTGCTCAAGCAGGAGAACCTATACCATTTCAGACAAGTGACTGTCCAGTCTCTTCTTAAAAACCTTCAGTAATGAAGCACATACAATGTCTGAAGGCTGTTCCACTGGTTTACTGTTTTCACTCTTAGGTCGTTTTTACCAAACACATTTTTATGGGTTCTTTTGTGGTACAACTCAACTTTTGTCTCTGGAGATTCTCAATCATCCAGGACATAATTGTTCCAAAGGTGCTTTTCAAAAGTCAACTGGACTTTGTTTTTCTTTGAAAACATTTCACTTCTCATCCATGAACTGAAGATGAGAAGCGAAATGTTTTCAAAGAAAAAACTAAGTCCAGTTGCCTTTTGAAAAGCATATTTGGGACAACTTTTGCAAGCAGTCTTTTACCCATATAATTCAGACCAATTATTCAAGAAATGAAATATATCCTATCAGTATTATTTCTACCCAGTCTTTCATCTGCAGTATTCTTCTGTTTTTCATGAACTAGAAGCAGGTGCATATAAAGAGTGAGGTTACCAGAGATAGGACAGCTAAGTATAAGGTACTCTGAGTTCCCCTTAAGCCAGTGGTTCTCAACCTTTCTAATGTCGCGACCCCATAATATAGTTCCCCATGTTGTGGTGACCCCCAACCATTTATACATCACCGGGTGCCAGGGGCGTGGCCAAAGAAAAGGGAAAAAAATGGCGGACAGCCTTGTTTGGCGACCCCCGTGAAATGGTCGTTCAACCCCAAATGGGGTCCAGACCCACAGGTTGAGAACCAGTGCCTTAAGCCTTCTACAAATTTAGTCAAACCTTAAATAATTCTAGTAGAAGGACTGTATGAAGGGAAGAAGGAACCATTGCTGTAGATACCTGGAAGTGGGCAAGGTGAGACCAAACCATGAAGTGGAAGTAGAGAATGCAGAATACAGAATAACAGTGTTAGAAGGGACTTTGGAAATCTTTTAGTCTAACCCCCTGCTCAGGCAGAAGACCCTATACAATTCTGGACAAATGGCTATCCAATCTCTTTTTCTGACCCTGAGCAGAACACGCTTTGAAGAAGCCTCTCTCCTTCAACAATGCAGCCAGAAGGAAGCAGTATCTGTACTGAACTTTCACATTGCTGGAAGGAATCTATTGTCCTGGGTCTTAGCCAGCTCAACCTATGGCCCCAATCAGAGGGATGGATGAGGAGACTGAGTTTTCAGTTTTCAGTTTTTTGTTTGTTTTGTTAGATCTTCAAAGACCATATTAGGGAAATACCTTTTTAATTCACAGAAAGATGCAAAAATCTGAAGAAACAGGATTTATGACTGAGTAAATATAATTCATCTAAAACAAAACATCAATTAACTTTTTACCCTCATCCAGAATCAGTTTACATGGAGAATACATCAAGGGAATAAGAATAAATGCACTCTCAATAGAACTGCAAAATCTGATGGGCTCTCATTATTGTTTACATTATTAGTTAGTTATATACAGCTCATTCTCCCAAAGAAGTTCATATGATCTCAGATCTTACAGTCATATCATGGATGACCAAAAGCTAATAAAGCTTCCCAATATACAGAATAGGTATAAATTCAACATTTCATAGGATGTTAGTAGTATTTGTAAACTTGATTCCCATTTTTTTTTTTCTACACTCTGCTTAGCTTCTTAGATTTGTTCCGGTAAAGACTGTCCAAGTGAATGACCTATCCTGAAGGTGTATTGTCCAGTATATGTGTGAAAATGAAGCATTGCTCCCAGACCCTTTAGGAAATGGTTCTTCTTCTTATCCCTGTAGAAATACCTCCATATAAGATCTTTGAGTTTTTTCAATTTTCTAGTGATGGCTATTTATAATTGTCAGAATCTCCAGCTGTTTCAGGTAATAAAAGCAGCTATCAAGTCTAAACGCATCTGTGTCACACATATGGTGTTTCAGGCCAGAGCTTTCATTTCTGAGAAGACAAAGGATGACTATTTGTGCCATTTCTACTGTTTCTGCTCTGCATCTTGCTTCAAAATGCTTGGCTAATTTTCTTTGATGACAAAGCAGCTATATTACAATGGTTTGCTGCTAAGGCAGAACTAATAGGAGCAATAACCCTGAGGTATAAATTACTTGTTTTCTTTCTGGATTTACTAACCTTCTGTGATGTAAGAAGAACTGTAGAAGCCGTGTAAGAATGATTGAGTGGCACTGTGGTTGAATCTTCTTTGAGAAGATGTTCAAGGAGAAAAGATTGTCAGACAATACCTATAAGGACAAGACATTATATGAAGGTCTTCCAAGTTTCATTACTACACTACCAGATTCCACCCCACATTAATTGGCAACTCATTTCTGTATATAATTACACTGAAATCTATGTTTTCCAGTGAACCTTATCTACAGATCCAGACTGCAGATATAGGTAACATAGCAGAGTTTATTAAATGCTGGATGATATGGATGTGCTGAACATTAGAAATCTAATTTTCTTTACTATTAATAGTAATAACCAAGTTTTCTACTCTATCTCTAATATGAAGAACTTTTATTCTCAATGTATGCAGTTGTTCAGTAAATTCCATGGGAAACATTATTTTAAAGTCAAGTATTTATTATATCATTCTTTTGTTTGCAAATATTCTTCATGCCTGCATACATTTAAAATACATTTCTTTAGTGTAAGCTCTTTTCCAATTTATGAAACTACTCCCTATTGTTTGCTGTTTACCCATCTTTTTTTTTTTTTTTACAGAAGAGACATCTTCCAAAGAAATGTGAAGAGTGAGTTAATGAATCTTTTTGACTCAAAAGGCAGAAGGGATTAGATTCTCTTCAGTTCTGCCATTTATGCCATAACCAAGCCTGGGCATCAGTTTGGCAGATCTTTAAAGAAAATAGGCAGTACATCAGGAATAAGAATGTGGGTGCATGTGTGGGTGCCTTTTGATTTTCTTTTGTCAGACATCACAGCAGAAGTAGTAATGTAGGGGAGAGAGAAGATTATATTCGAAATAATAAGTTCCAGCTGTGGGCTAAGTGTGCTTGCCTTTAATAATTAAAATCAGCTGTAGCACTGTACTAGCCATGCTCTAATGTGGATGCCCTGCATTCAATCGATTTTGCTACAAACATACTGACTCATTTGGCTGGCAGCAGATAACTCAGAGAAAAATCGATCAGCAAGGAAGACCTTTCTCCACTGTGTGAGGGCAGAGAACTGCAGAGTGCAGAAGACAGGTTAGAAATCTTGCACATCTTTCAGAGGGAGGTTTTGTTCTGCAAAAAGGTGTGGAAGCGGCATCTGTTTTTCTGCATAGGAAGAATAAGAATAGTTGTGAATTTTAGGGAGACCTGCAGCTAAGTCAATCTATCATTCTAATCAAGTACAGTTACCAATAGTCTTCCCACCCTCCCCCTTTGGCTCCATTAATATAACTGCACCCAAGTGTTCTCTCCCCACCCCATCTCATTCATTTGATGAAAGAAAGGCTTTTCCTTTGTATTTCAAAGGAGAAGATAACTTTTTTGAAATTTTCCTAGGAGGAGCATGGCATGTTACTGATTAAGTGAGAATGGCCTGCATATTATGGGGCAATCTTTTTCTAGCAGTTTGCAGCAAACCTGGCTCCACACTTTACTGGATCTCCAATGAAATGCATGGAGCATTTTCAGACTACAAAGTCTGTGCAGCCTGGAATGAAAAGATGTTTAATGGAATAACTATCATAGAACCCTCAGCCACTTTGAAAGGATAGGTAAGTTGATAAAACTTATGTAGATAAATTAGAACAAAATTCTCAAGCCTCCTGACAATAAGGTACAAAAACAAGAGTCTGTCTGATGGGTAGCAGAAAAGACCAGCTGAAAAATGGATTTTGTACAGAACTAATTAAAGTGCAACTTGTGAGTTTCAAATTGTGTTCCCGGGAGTCCTTGGGTGATAGAATAGTTTTTCATGGATTCTTGTTTGATAACTGTAATTTTCTGAATGGGCAGCTCAACCACCATTTTAAATCTTTTTCTGTAGTGCGGAATTCTGTATAAGGAGCAGGGTGAATGTTGAAGCTTGCTCTTCATATTTGGCAGCAGAGTTGAACGCCACAATCACCTAATATGCTGACAATCCTCCATAATGCACAAAAATTGTTGGTGACAAACTCAAAGTGGAAAGTGTTTTGTTGGTGTTCAGAAATGTAAAAACCGCAGACCTACAACATGCAGTACTCTGGAACATCTGGTAGCAATTGGCTGCAGCTAAGATAGAATATTCTGATTTATAATGTGCAGCCACATTCTGATGGATGCTTTCCATATGTTTTACTTTGCAATGCTAATATTGGCTATAGGTCTATGTACATACATATGGACAGCATTTGTAAATCAAGTCCCCGATATGAAACCCAAGTCCATGCGTATGGTAACATTTTTCTCAAAAGAAGATTCCTAAGGGGGAAAGAGGTTCGTGTTTATATTAATAGCTGACTATAGGCAAACTAAGCATGAAGCATTCAGTCTATAGAATTCCTATACATTTCTTATTTGAATAATATGAAAACTCAGTATAGAGTAGTCACTCTATAAAGTGGGTAAAGTTCATAATTTCTTGACTTTTGGGATTCTCAAAACTTCCAGTAACTATTAATTAAGTCATTTCAAGCTTTTCCAATTACTAGATTTCTGTAGTTCATAATATAATCCAAACTGGAGAAAGGATCTTTCTTTCCACTTTCACTGTGCCCCCTCCACCCCTGTAAGGAAATCTGCAAAGGGATGGGGAACAAATATTATGCATTATGATATAATTGTCAAAAAATTGATGTACACTGTATCTGTTTTATCTTGGCACTAGAATATGTCTCATGCAAAAGACATGATTTGAATATATTCTGCAATCACATCATTATACACATGACATCTTTGTGACCAGTACTGGATGCCTGTGTTGTCCCCTATTCACTCCCTTGCAGTCTTCTTTCCTTTTTGGCTATTAGGCTGTACCATCTAAGATTGTAAATAGCCAGAGGAAAAGATGAAAACTCACAGGGCAGCTGGGTTGGCAAGAAGGATTTGATCTTTATTGTACAGCTACTAGTACTATCAGAAGCAAAAAAGAAAGACCTTTAGAAAGGTAATAGCAACTGAGCTGCAGAACAAGCTACAGTACTGTATCCCAACCTGAATAAAATGGAAGAATGTCTTCCTTTGTTAATTTGTATTTGTAACTGCTCCTGTGATAGCCAAGTCTTATATATTATGCTTTAGCATGATTTTACTTGGTTGGTTTTTCACTTACATATTACGGGAATGCAGCCATTTTGACTAATGAATTGAAGTAAGTTAGCATTATGTGTAAATCTAACCATCCTGGTTTGTTTAACACAACATCACTCAGGCAAATTATGCCTTAGTAAAACATAGAAATATAGTCAGTAGGTTTATTCACACCATGTGTTAATCTGCATTGTAATACAGAGAGCCTTAATCAATACCTGAGTGCATGATTCATAATTACGGGCTCACATCTTGTCAAAGCCAAATGTGGGACTACTTCATATGGTATCAGAAATAGAAAATGTAATATTCCTATGTTACTGAGTTTTAGCTATTCTAGCTCTGTTTTCTTCTTGAATTGCTCTGATTTTTTTTAGATCTGTAAAATAAAGGAATAGGAAAAAATATTTTCATCAAACGTCAGAAAATGACTTTTAGATTAGATTATTATGCATCTTCCCTTTCTCTTTCTCCTTCTCTTAAATAGGACATGGTTTGACTATGACCTTAGAACAGTAGTCCATATAATTAGCATCCATATCTTCCACTTGGTCAGCATTATCCCCTGCTTATCATATAAATATGTTTGAGGCTACAGTTGGTATATAATGTGTCTCTATATCTGAACCAATTCCTGATAATGACATTTGATTGTGCAAAATGTTTCAATGATGTCTATAATTTTGAGTTGATAAATAAATGGTCTATTCAAATTTTAATGTAAGACAACCATCATTTGGCATTGTAGTCAATTGCATTTGTGTGGATGAGCTTATTACCTCAGAAGAACTCACCTGTTGCCTTTCAGGTAGTTGGACTCCCACACAGTAACTATACTGAATGGATAGTTGGATATATCGAAGCAGTTCCACCTTTGGCACAAACCATTTCTGAGGAATAGGAATGTTCTAATACTAGAATATGGTGCTGAACTATAGCATATCCTGCTATCTTCCTTTGTCTTGTCGCCTTTTCTGTAAATAGTACAAATAATTAGATTTCACTCTGGAAATTTTTCTTGTCTATTTTTCTTGAAGATCCTAATTACTGTCATCTATTATTTGCAGAATATCATCTGCTACTGAAAAAATAAGATGATAAAGAAATCCAATCTTCCTCCCTTTTTTAGTATATTGTATAATGATGATACAAAAATTAATTTGTTCTTTGCAACACAAAAAGTAATGTTGAAAGAAAATTATAATTAATGACATTTAAGTATAGCTAGAAAATTTCTTCTACTGCAGCAAGGCTGGAAGACATTTTCTAAAAGAACACTGAGTTGAAATTAAGCTAATCTTTATTATTCTGTCAAAAGGTAGCCAGAACCTGTGAGCTATAATATTATAGGGGAAGAGAAGAATAGCTAATTTCTCTTCACTAATCTAATTCTTTGTTGAATATGAAGCACCTTCTTCCCTCCATCCCTCTTTTATAGATCCAACAGGAAAATATTTTCCAGGTTATTCTCGTAGTTTTATCATTTGTATTTCCCTTTTAATTTTTGAAACTTAGGGTAGTATCTTTTCTATAGCCATTCTCATGGTCTGTTATTTGTAGTTCTAGTTGTGATACTTTCTCTGCCAGATAAAATTTGCTACATATGTCTTGTTTCTTCATTAACATTTTTTAAGCATAGTCTATCCACAGAAGCAGCTATCATCACTGACAGTGTTGATTTGTGGTTACTAATTTCTGGACCCATTCTTCAAAGATATCCTTTAATATATCCAATGTAGTAATGTTTTGTGTCATTTTATAAGTCCCAATATTAACTGACATCAAGAATAGGCTTGCATTTTTTTATTTCTGCTTAGAATCTTTTGTGGTTTGTAGTGACCGGTTTCTAAAATCATCTTTGTTATGTCTTACGATAGCGAGGAATGCCAAAATAAATCTTTTCCATAAGAAGCTATTTTTATCATTAATTCCAAAACCTTATGATAAAAATCAATATTCCAAACTTACCCTTAAATCCATTTATAACTTTCAGGAATAAAAATCTTATTTAGCTCTTGTTTATTTCAAATTCTTTTAAGTTCTTAAGCTTATAATTATTTCTTCTTTTATTCAGAGGTGAAAATAAACTCACTCAATATAGACTTTTCAAACTTATCATTCTGAAGGACTCTAATAACTTTAATATAGTTAATTAGCAATTTCTGAAACTGATTAGAAACTGAGGTTTGCAAATTCAATATCCTTGAAAGGCTCCACTGTGATTGCAAGCAAGATGGGTGTTCTTGTCATCTCTGGCATTGAAACCTGTGGAAACCTGTCTAGAAAGCAGCTACCTGGAACACATATGGGCAATTCCCTATTATCTCTTTATCCTGGTTCAGAGGAAAGAGTCTACTTACTGGTTCTTTGGGTTTTTGTTGCAGTTGTCAACTCTACTTTTATGGAAATGTCATCAGTTTGCTTACTTTTCTTGGAACTATGCTTACTGTATTTTTTCTTAAAACATTTCAAAACATACATCACCCTCTCTCAAAGTCAAGCTTGCTTCTGGTGTCTACATCTATAGAGTTTTCTTGTCAATATCATAGAAATAGGGTACTGCTACATTCTTTAAGGAAGTCTATTTTTGACTTCCCAATCTAGATCTAGACTTCTGGAGTTCCCATTCAAGTACTAAAAAACAGATAGAATTATCTTCAAGTTCCAGTTTATATAGGGCTTTTGGGAAGAAGGAGTAAAAGAGTGTGATGCCCCTAGTACCACGTAGTGCCATTTCTGCACTAGTGATTTATAGTGTATCTTCATAATATTATTCAGATGTTGCTGAGATGGTATAAAGTCTGGGCTGCCTTACTATTTACGTACAGTGATGGTTATATGACTCTGGAAAATAATATAAAATGTGACCGTGGGCATTATCTGCTTTGTTAAGTCCTCGCAATAATGGCGAATGATGAAGACACATCTTTCCAGGAACACTCTTTATTTCAGTTTCAGCCAAAACTCCAGCAACGAGCAAAGGCACGCAGGCCTCCTTTTATACGCCCAAATCCCCAGACACAATGGCAACAGAGAACAGACACTTTTCCCACCTTGCGCATGCGCGCAAAGCCGGCACCACTTAGTCTGGTCCCAGGCAGCTTCTGCAAAGCCCGGGACCATTGCAACATCAGCTCAGGACACAACACTCCTCCCCCCTAGCTTGAATCAATCCTGTCATTTTTTTATCTTTCTTCTTTGGGAAGAGTGTCATACTTCCTCACATCCAAACATGGAAGGGAGTGCCTGAGGTTGCCTCCACCCACAAGTTTCTCCCCATTGCTTTGGTGAATAGCTATGCCCGAAATCATAAATAAAACAAAATAACATTATCAGTCTATGACGCTGAGGGCATTACCCCTGGAACTGAACAGCAACTTCACAAAATCTGAAAGATATTTGGGCAGGCACTTGGCCCTTTGTGACCTCCTCGGACCGGAAGAGTTTGCTCGGTCCCTTTCCTCGCCCACCGGGTTGGGTGATCCAAGATGTTTCTGCCCACTTGCCTCAGAAGACCCTGGTGTTTATTTATTTTTTTATTTATTTGTGAGATTTTATATTGTTGCCTGACCCACTTGCTCGCCTGCCAGGCTCATTAGGTCAGGACTTTGCTGCCCCAAGTACCTGGTT